ATAGATTAACAAATAAATAAATAAATAAATAAATATATAAATAAATAAATAAAAACATAAAATAAAACAAGGAAACGTAATTCATGGATAATTTCTTCTATGAGTCCCATGTCAAATATTAACGCCAGAGCTTCACTTTCTGCTACTATTGCTCTTAGTAATCTTAGCCGTGTTCGTCATTACACTTTTCTATACAATATTCATTACACCTTCCTATGGCAATTTTAAAATTATCAACAGTAATGAGATAACAACTACTAAAATAGCAGCAATGCTATCTGTAGTACAACAAACACAACACCAACAGCACCATGTCAAAAATACTCAGGAGAAGGGAAAAAAGGAAGAGACTGTATAAAACACACTGCAGACACTTACCGTGATTCCTTCACTTGGCCAGGGCAAGCAAATCAGACCCCAATACCACGTATGCTTTGGTCACATTGTTGGGTCTGCAAATTAGAAAGAAAATCAGATTGGTAAACGAAAAGCCCCCATCAAACAACAACAACACCACCACCACCAGTAACAACAACAACAACACCAACGATAGCAGCATTTGAATGTGAAAGTAGTTTCTTTCATTGCTTTCACAAAGTCTAGCGAGGAATTAAATCAAATTTGACTCAGAGGACAAAGAGCGAAAAGAATAACTGTGCCCATGGAAGTAGAATGTTTTAGGTATAAAGTAATTTCCCTCTGTGTGGACACAGTCTATAATATTTTGTCTAGGAGGCGGGGTGCTTGGATCTTGCCTTTCTCAGGGGTGCCCGTCTTCCCTGCAGAAAGAGGGATGTTCTTAATAAAATTATATATTTTCTCACACAGAAAGTGAATAATGTCGTTTGTTTGAAAGGGCGAAGAGCCTGACCGATCTTTCTTTTTTTTTTTTTTTGGTCAAATGTAAGCAATTTAAGCCCCCATCAACACAGTTCATACTACATAAAAACGTATTTAGGAGACTGTTCGACCCTGCCTGTAAGGTCCAAAACAGGCTCATACGGATATATCATCTCAGCAGAAAGACCGAGACACTTAATAAAAAAATTCCTCACTGGAGAATTAAACTCGGATCGTTAACATGAGAGCGACATCGAAAGGCTCAACGCACAACCCCCCCCCCCCCCCCC